CAACTAAATAACCAAATAGCGACTACATATTAATTCTAAAAAACACATATTTAAATAGAACCAAATAAATTACAGAAATTTACAAAATTTAAAACATAATAAATCATAAATACCTCGTATGATATAATATCCTAAAAAAAACACCAACCTGAAATAACAAAAATATATTATTACATAAAAAATTTAAATAAAATATATAAATAAAAATAAATAATTTTAAATAACAGTTATAACACTTATAAATAACTTAAAATAAATATTATATTTAATTAAAATTTTCTGGCAAATTTAATAAAAATAATTTCATAATTCAAATAAACCAATTATAATCAGAAAAAATTAATTAAATACCCTATAGCGACTTTTAAATATTATAAAAAAAAATATAACCTGAAAAAAAAAAATTTACCTGAAACGAACAAACTCACAAACAGCCGCATAACTCCAAATAAATAAATACCTAATTAAAACGTTAAAATTATTATTAACCTAAACATAAAATAAATATAAAATATTTAATAAAATAAAATTATGAAAAGGAAAAAATAAAGATAAGAGAAACTTACCGGAAGAGGAAGGAAAGTGAAAGTGAAAGTGGGGGAGGGGACCATCTGTATCATTTTATAACTGTAAAATTAAAATTGTTTACCCAAAGTGCAACACGTGTCACCTTCTCATTGGTGACGTCTGCGGTTAATTTGAAACGTATGGGCCACGTGTCAGCTTCTCATTGGTGGCGCCTGCGGTTACTTTTACACGTGGCAACCATGAGTTGGCCTTTAAAGTAGGCGCTATGGGCCACCGCGCCTCTCAGGCGCTATGAGCCCAAACGACCCGTTTTATATTTTTTTTTGCTTTTTATTATTTTTTTTCACATTATATTACTTTTTTTTAAAAATTTATATTTTTTCTTATTTTAGTTCTTTTTTCTGCTTTTTTATCCGAAATTTTTTATATAATTATTTTATCATATTTTATTTTTATAAAATATTTTAAATAATTTGAAACAGGCGCTGTGGCCTACAGCGCCCCATTTTCTCTATGGGCCATAGCGCCCCAGTTTGTATATTTTTTTTCCTTTTTAAAATTTTTTTCACATTATATTACTTATTTTTAAAAATTTACATTTTTTCTTATTTCAGCTATTTTTTTTCGCTTTTTTTGGAAATTTTTTTAGAATTCATTTATCAATTTTTATATTTAACAATTATTATAAATAATTTAAGACAGACGCTCTGACCCATAGCGCCACAATTCCGCTATGAGCCATAGCGCCCCAAATTTTGGATTTTTATTTTGTTTTTAAATTTTTTTCACATAATATTAATTCATTTTAAAAATTTTTTTTTCTTATTTCAATTCGTTTTTTTGCACTTTTATCCTACATTTTTTTATAAATTATTTCTCAAATTTTATATTTTAAAAATATTACATATAATTGTAAAACAGGCGCTATGGGACATAGCGCCTAAGTTGTGCTATGGACCATAGCGCCCCACTTTTTTATTTTAGTTATTATTTTATACTTTAATTATTATTTTTCAACAAAATTTATTTTTTCTTTTTCTTATATTACATTAAGTTATTTTTATTCCTTTTTCTTCACATAAAATTTTCTATTTTTAAAAATTTATTATATAAATGTGGTATAGGCTATAGCGACATTTTTTTAGCTGAGTTAATTCGCTGTAGCCTATAGCGACTTTTAAAGGGTCTCTACCAGCTGCAGCGCCTCTACTAATATGGCGTTCATGGCTTAGAAGCAGACCCAAAATTGTCACGTGTCATGGGTGTCGCTATGGCCCATAACGACACCTAATAAAATAGCTCCAAAGGTGTAATATGTTTCAAAACAACCCCATTTTAGTATTTTGTTTGTAAGACTGCACCATAATGGTCGTTTAGCCAAAAGGCTCACACGTTAAGGAAGATCTATTTCATAATAAATTTGCCAACTCAATGACAGAAAACCATGGAAGAGATGTGACTCCTTATTTAACAGAACCATGGTAGTAAGTATCGTAGGAATCGCGATTCGTATCGTACGATACGATACGATTCCGTGCTTCAGCGATTCGAATCGCATGGTGTATCGTTTTTGATCCTGAATCGTTTCCGAATTGTTTGTATCGGGTTTAGAATCGGAAAATCGCGATTCTGGAAGGTCTCGCACGATTCTGGGAAGAAACGTTTCGCGTCTGAAACCGGGTCGGGTCATGCGCGACCCGGTTCTGAAAACCCTAAAAAAAATGATTTTTTTAAATAAAAAAAGACGAAACTGAGACAGAAAATGCCGATACCCATTCATGTACATGACCCACTTAGTGGGTTTCACTTTTAGTGGTCCCTTTGTCTCGTCCAGGTTCGCAGCTTCGTTTGGGTGGCTATATTGCTGATTAGAGTAGCAAACAGTCCCTTGTATATGCATATATTTAGCAACAACAATGATTTTTTTGGAGGCTTTATTGTTGAACTGTGCAATCATTTCTTTTGGCTTTGAGACTGTTATTATTTGTATAATTCTATCTTTGTATTTTGAAGCTTATATATTACTATATATTTATGTATGACTTCATTTTGTCTGTTTCTTTATATTAAAATGTGCTTAGAGTGCTTTTATATGTCTTGTATGCATATATATACACTATGTTTTTATTGATCATGAATCTTACGATTCACGATACGATTCGATTCACAATTCAAAAAATAAACTTTCCGATACATTATGTGTATCTCGATTCAACTACCATGAACAGAACACAATTGAAAAAACATACCTTTATTTGTATAGGCCACTCACATGGCTGTCACGTGTAGGAGCCAAAGGGAATGGAAAAGAGATGCAAATTCCAGTATCAGGCTGGTTTGACTTCAAATTTGCCAACATTTTCAAATTGGGACGTGGCTTAGCACAACGAATATATGAAATCATTTATCAACACTAGCATCCGTTGGACACGCATTTATAATACCACAAAAAGTTATTAATACCCAGAGATGATACAATGCAGGTAGCGGATCTAATCTATATGATGCATAACATTAAAAGATTTGATATGCATAATACATGAAATATATATATATATATA